CAGGAGCATGGGTCTGGCCGGCGCTCGGGGACAGGGTGCGGCGGCAGGGGGGCGCCCCGGGGGCGCGGGGACCCAGGCAGCGGGCTGCTCTCCGGACAGCGTGGGAGGCCGAGGCCGGGCGCTGGTGCTAGGGAGACGCGGCAGTCAGCCAGCGCAGAGCCAGGGGTGGGGGGCACAGGGAGGTGCGAGCCAGGAGCAGGGTGTCCGACGTGGGGTGTGAGACCACTGAAACACTGAGGTGCCACAGGGGGAAACAGCAGGGAGGGGCATAAAATGCCCCTGTGAAGACGCTGGCAGAGGCGGCTGAGGGCTGGCCTCTGAGGAGTGTCACAGGCTCTGGGCAAGGGACAGGGGTGGCTGCAGCAGGGGCAGAGCGCCTCTGGGCCTTGCTGTTCCTGCTGCGGCAGATGGGGCTGGGGAAAGGGCGGCCGAGTGCTGCTGTGGTGTCGTGGGCCACAGCCCAGCCCCCCTGAGGCCGGGGCCTCCGCGTGGTCGAGTCTTCTCCCCTGGAGGTGCCGCGGAGCAGCGCACACAGGCGGCGCTCGGGGCAGGGCTGGCTGCTCGTGGGACCCGCCGCTGCCTCCTGTCCTTCTCCTTTTGGCTCATTCCCTTTTGACCTTTTGTTGCTTTCACTGCCATTGGTCCTTTGAGCAGAAAATAAGGCAGAGGAGAGACCGCCGCCGACCACACGTATCGCGTCACCGCGGCCCGGACCGCAGCGTCGGCGGGTGGGGTGCCTGTGTGCGTGCGGGGTACACTTTAGACCTCGTATGGGTTCATGTCTGAGACTGAGACCATTCAGTAAGCGGCCAGACGCCCTGCTTTCTCTTTATCACCCCTCTTCTCGAACTTTCCCTTGCTGAACTTCTGTTCTTTCTCCACGTCCCATCTTCCCTCCAGTGCTGCTGGCTGACATGAAGTTCAGGGCCCCAGGATTTTGAACTCGAGCAGAAAGCAGGTGTTTGTGCTGCTCACGCGACCTTAACTTGGAGAGGGAGAGCAGGGAGAGAGATGACGCCACAAAATCAAGGATTGGATGGGGACGAGGCGACTGAGTTACTGGGAAAAGTCTGGCCACCGATTCGGTGGTGTGGAGGGTATTAGAGGACCCAGCCTGTGTCCTGGTCAAGCTGGACTGGGGAGGGAGAGAGGAAATCTCTGAGCCCCAGGCCGGAGGGTAACACTGCGGGGGCCCAGATCTGGGAGGGTGCGGAAGGGGATCAGAGGCCCCTGCTTTGCTGTCTGGAAATGAGGATGTATGCCTCTAGGCCTTGGGAAGGGCGAGAGGGGCTTCTCCCCTCTGGCAGAGGTCAGTACACAGCTCAGCCCGCCGGAGGGGACGCCGAGGACAATGGCAAAGGCTAACAGCCCCAGCCGCCCCATCCACTCTGCGAAAGCCCGTCACCACCCAGACGGCTGAAAGGGCGCTACCAGGGCGCTACCAGGCCCCGCTTCCATCGGGGTCCAGAGCCGAGGGGCCTGAGCTTGGGGAGGGGGCATGTGGGTGAAACGTCAAACGTCCTGGTGCGGGTTTGGAGAGCAGGCAAGGGAGGGTGGGGAGGCTGACTGCGGGCGGGGCGCGGGGCGAGGCCAGAGGGAAGACGCGTCCTGCCTCCCCCTCCCCCGCTTCCCTCGCGAGATCTGTGCTGGTTAATCCCTCGTCCTCTCTCCCCGGCACCCCCAAACCTCTCCCCACGCCCACCCTGGATGTCCTGGTCTCCCCTGCCTCCCATCTCATCCCTCCACGTCTGTGTCTTCTCGTGTCCTCCCACCCGCGCCCCACCGTGGGTCCGGGTGCCCTCCGCCGGTCTGTGTGCGTCGCCCTCTCCCTCCTGTTCACCCCCGGTGTCCGCGCCCACAGCGGAGGGCGAGGTGTACAGCTCGGATGAGGAGAAGCTGCAGGCGCCAGCGGGGGACCCAGCAGGCAGCGCACAGGAGGAAGAGGGCTCGGGCGGTGACAGCGAGGACGACAGCCTCCTGGACAGTTCTGCAGCGGGCCCGGGGGCTCTCCTGGGGCCTAAACCGAAGCTAAAGGGAAGTCTGGGAACTGCAGCTGAGGAGGGGGCGCCCGTGGCGGCAGGAGCCGCAGCCCCGGGGGGGAAGAGCCGGCGGCGCCGCACGGCGTTCACCAGCGAGCAGCTGCTGGAGCTGGAGAAGGAGTTCCACTGCAAGAAGTACCTGAGCCTGACCGAGCGCTCCCAGATCGCACACGCCCTCAAGCTCAGCGAGGTGCAGGTCAAGATCTGGTTCCAGAACCGGCGGGCCAAGTGGAAGCGCATCAAGGCCGGCAATGTGAGCAGCCGCTCCGGGGAGCCCGTAAGAAACCCCAAGATCGTGGTGCCCATACCTGTGCATGTCAACAGGTTCGCCGTGCGGAGCCAGCACCAACAGATGGAGCAAGGGGCCCGACCCTGAGTGGCGCCCAGCGCTCCGGAGGCCAAGGGTCTGCCTGCCCCCACTGGGGGCTCCGAGGACGGGGCTGCCCTGTGCCGCTGCCCGGGGCGGGGCGGGCACCGCCAGGCACGTGGCTCCGGGTGCGCGTTCCTGGGCAGCCGAGAGGGGCCCTGGGCCCGCACCTGTTCAGAGACCCTCAGGACTGGGGGCTTCAGGGTCCAAGAGACTCGGGTTCTCTGCGCAGGAACTGTGGGACGGGCACGGAGGGAATCCTGGGGCGGGGTGGGCTCCAGACGCCTGGCGCCTGACGGGGCTGGCTGGCGCCCGGAATCACTTCTGACGGCGGGAGGACCCGGGCCGCCGCCCCGCCAGGCCCGCCCTGGCTCCTTATTTATTTTGTGTAAAGTTTGTATGTACGGACCGTCTGCCTCTGTCTGTCTGTTCCTCCTGGAGGAGTTGGGGAGGCCTGGGGAGTTGTTTCCTGCTCCGCGGCCAGTTCCGCTCTCACTGCCTTCAGGCGGGCGCCATCCTGGCTCCAGCCCTCTAGTCCAGGTGAACTGCACCTGCCACCAGCCCCCTTCGGAGCCCCTCAGCGCTCACCCCCCTGAGCTGCCTCCACCTCCGCCTGTCCCGTCCCACTCCGGCGGCCTCCCGCTCCTGAGCCTCTGCCTCCTGCCTCTGCTTCCCTTTGGGAGGGCTGGCGGGCTGCGGGCAGCGGGCAGCGGCTGCCTCCTTCTGTCAGGAGGGAAGTGACCACTCTACCCTCCCGGTACCCGGGCCCTGTCTGACCGGACTAGGTGGCGAGTGCGTCAGCGAGCGGGGCGGGCCAGCGGCGCCGTCACCTGAGCTGGCAGTGAGACCCGCAGGCTCAGCCTGTCTCTGCCGCCCGGCTGCTCCAACTCGAGGGCCTGGGGAGGCTCCCCCTTTTGTCCCTTCTCATCCCCCAGTCGTCTCCCCCCACCGCACGTTCATGACGCGTGGGGTTCCAAGCCGCCTCTGCTGAGTGAGGGTGGCTGAGTGGACAAGACAGGAATGAGTCTGTGATGGCTGGAGGACACGGACGGGGGCAGCTACGGTGACAGGAACTAGCGCCTGGGCTGGGCCGTGTGAGTAACCACAGTGGGGCTAGCGGGCCGGGCCCCTGGCGAGAGCGCACTGGGGGCGGCCCGGGCGCCGGAGCTGGGGCAGGCCGTGGTGCGGGGCCCAGCTGGCACGGGCCCGGAAGGAGCAGGACCTGCGCCGGCTGGCGGGGAGGAGAGGAGCGCGAGCCCTGGGGAGGGCAAGGCAGCGTGGCGCCAGGCAGCGGGAGTTCAGGGCGGGGCAGGTGAGGGCCGTCTCCCCACTTCCTGAGAGCCAGCCCCCGCTCCTCCTGAGCCCCGAGCAGCAGACCAGCCCCAAATCCACGAGGACCCCGTGGGACGGTGACAGCCTTCCCGAGGAGCCCCTGGTTCCTCCTACCTGGTCCTGGCAATGGACAGGGCGCACTGACAACGGGTCACAGTCGCCAGGACACCGGGTCCAGGGCAGGTCACCCCCATTCTCTGGCCGCCAGCAAGGCTGAGCATTAGGCTACAAAGGGAAGTCCAGCCGACCGGTTCCCAGCTCCGTCGAGAGCGAGGCCATCTGCTGCTCTGGACTTGCCCGCACGGGGAGACTACAGGTTACGTGCTGACGGGAGCCAGGCTGAGGCCAAAGGTCACGGCCGCTGACGTGTGCTATCAGGAGTGCCCGTCTGCAGGCCCCGGCCGGAGCAGCCCCTCTGGCCAGGGCCGGGACGCGGGCAGAGAGACGAGAGGAGAACCAGTCCAAACCAAGGCTGACTCGCCTTTTTTTCCCTGGGTTTGCCCGTGAAGCTTCTGAAATGAGGGAGCCTGGGGGTGACCGCAGCGGGGTTCACTGAGCCCAGGAGCCCAGCTCTGTGCAGACCTGTGGCCTGTCTCCTTCCTGCCCCCACTTTAAGGTGCTTCTCGGCCTTGCAAAAGGGACCGTGGACCGAAAATCAAAGTAGTATGGCTTGGGTGTTGACCTGACGAGGCGGGTGCCCAGTGCCACACCCAGTGCCTGCTCAGAGAGCCGGAGGAAGCGGCACAACCCAGGCGCGGGGCACGAGCTCCTGCGAGAGCTGGCCCTGACCCGCCACTGCTGCAAGCCCTCTGCCGTCTCTGGGACGCTGGCGGGAGGAAGAGCAGGGCACTGGGTGCCGCCTCCGGTTTGGCAAGCTGCTGGGGCCGACAGCAGCCGCCCCCTGGGACCTGCCGGACCGCGGCACTGCGCTCCCCACGAGGGCCGCGGGCCGGCCCCCCCGCAGCCCAACTCGAGCGCCTGCATGGAGGCCAGCTCCAGACCCGGGGCAGTGGCGTTTGGGTGAATCTGGCCAGTGCCAGGCGTGCCAAGAGCAGTGATGAGAACACCAGCGGGCAAGCTCTGAAGAGGGCGAGGTGAGTGGGGAAGCAAACGGGAAGCTTCGTGGGGAGTCCCGACACGCCCCCTGTGGGGGCTCCCTGCCGCAGCCCTGGCCGGAGCCCACCGAGGGACGTCGTCCTGGCCACAGGCGGGGGGCGCTGAGGGTAGTTTGGGGAGGGCAGAGAGGGCCAGCGAGGCCACGTACACAGCCTGGTTTATTGGCTCGTCTCACACACGCCAAGTATGTACACAAACATAAATACGCCAATGTACAAATTTACACGGGACTCGCAGATCACCCCGTCTTCCGCCAGCACCCCCAATCCGTGCCCTCCCCAGTCTCCATTTTAGGATGAAGGCTTGCAGGGGCTGGCAACGGAAGGCAGGGCGCTGGAGGAGGGAGAGGTCCCGCTCCCCTCTCCTCGCGGCGCCTCCAAAGGGTCCTGTCCCTGCTCAGCGGCACCCGGGCAGAGGGCCGCGCCCGCCTGCTCGCTCGGCTCGGCCCGACGCGCCTCTCGTCTCGGACGCTCCCTTGTGTCCTCTCCCCCTCCTTTCTGCGTGTCCCTGCGTCTCCGTCTGTCTGTCTCCCCCAGGCCCTGAGGGAGGAGGGTCCCCAGGCCACGGAGTCCTCCGCCCCCCGCTGCCCTCTTCTGGGCCTTCACAGGAGGCTGGGACTCCGGTGCAGCTCGGCGGAGGCGGTGCCGCCGTTGGCCGGCTCTCTGTTCGGGGTGGGGGCCAGGCCACAGCCCTCTCCAGGGCAGCCGTGCTGGAGCAAGATGTCTGCGCACTCCTGGCTGCCGGCCCGGCGGGCGTAGGCCAGCGGGGTCAGGCCCCGGGCGTCCCGGCTCCTCACGTCCACCCCGTACTGCGGAGGAAAGCGCGTGCGCACGGTCGGCGAGACGGGGCGGCCGCGGGCCGCGGGCGGAGGGAGGAGGCCGCGGGGCGGAGCCCGGACTCACCCAGATGAGCAGCTGCGTGAAGACCACGTTGGCCATGGCGCTGGAGAGGTGCAGGGCCGTGCGCCCGTCGCCGTCTCCGTAGGTCTCGTTCACCTCCTCCTTGGAGCCGTGGGCCAGGAGCGTCACCAGCAGCCGCAGGTCGTCCTCCACCACGGCCCGGAGCAGCTGCTGCCCCAGCGGCACGTCCGAGCTGGGCAGCGGGGCCAGGAAGAGCTTCTGTTCGTACTTGGCCCGTATCCAGCGCTCCTTCTCCTCTCTGCAACCACAGGCCCCGGGCGTGAGCGGAGAGCCCCCGCCGACGGGGGCCAGGCGGGCAGGCGGGATGTGACCGAGCGCCCGGTGCCCGGCGGGCGGAGCGGTGGGGAGGCGAGCTCACGAGCCGGAGGGCGCGGGCAGTGGGGAGCACCTCGGGCGTGGGGGACGCTGCCGGGGGCCGTCCCCTCGACGGGTCAGGCGGGCTCCCCGGCAGCTGATCTGGCCGTCTGGACTCTGGACTGGCAGCGCTGGAGCCGAGGGGGGGCGCCTGCGCGGCCCCACACTGGCCTGTCTAGCACCCCTTCTCCCCACCCGGGAGCTGGCGAGAACCTTCCACTGCAGCCAGAGCCCGCCCCTGACCTGCTGCTGTGAGGAGCCTGAGTGACAGGCTGGGCGGGGGAGGGGCCCCAAGGGGCCAACCGCCAAGCCACGCCGGCCAGCAACGGCCAGTCTTTACCCTGTCACAGCCGCCGAGCCCACCCATCTCTGCCCGTCCCCACCGGCCAGCGTGGCCAGCCGGCCACCCACCTGCAGGCATCCGGCCCTGGCTTTGCGTAGCCGTCCAGGGCCCCCTCCCAGACGCTGTTGGCCAGGGCATTGCCCATCGCGGTCATGACAGCCAGCAGCTCAGGCGGCCAGTCATCGAGGTCCAGCGAGCGGACGCGGGACAGGTGGGCCCCCAGGTGTCGGTGGGTCCCCGAGCACTCAATGCACATGAGGGCGCCCAGGTTCAGGCTGGCCCAGTCTGGATCTAGGGGGGAGAGGAGG